AGATTAATTTCAAAAGTCTCTGCTATAATTTTCCGTTCGTAGTTTCCCAGATTACAGATGAACCTTATAACCAATTGTATTTCACACCAGAGGTCGTTAAGTGATTTGCAATGCATGATAACTTTTGGAATAATTAAGCTATGTCAGAGGTGTGTTAAGCCTCAGCTGACTAAGTTACACTATTTAGTTTAGGCCTGGTTCTGGGAAAAGAGTGCCCATAGCGTGTTTGCTATTAATTGTATGATTGTTATGAGCTCGCTATTCTATAACACTGGATAACTTAGAGGTGGAGAAAAAAGCGCCGAACGCGGCAGTGCTACCGTCCTAACACACTATATGCCACAAATTAATTATCCCTAACTTCCCATTTCACCCCCCTTGGGTGTCCCAAAGCTACGGTGGACAAGCGATGGAATGAACCGTACAGAAGCTCACCAAAGACCATGAGCCATTACTTAACCACCGAGAAACGAATGCAGGGAAATCACTTCGATTTATGGTAGCCCACAAAAAGCATGTTGGATATTGGAAGTTAAGTTGTGCTTCCTGTGAGATACGTAATTCACGCCGAGATGAATTATATGCTATAAAATTTTCGACTACAAACTTTACATATGAATTGTATAGAATATGATTGTAGTGCATTACTTGCTCATAGCACAATCACGTCTAACAAATTTTCCTTAAATTTATGTACAATATTGAGCAGGACACTCTTGCAAACCCTTTCTCGATCAAGATTTGAAATTTACGCAGCAGTATTTTCTAGCTTATATATTCGAAACAAAGGTACTGCCTTTAGTCTCTTATGAAGCGCGGGCACCACTATTCAGGAAGATGACTGATGTTAACTAGGCTTTCGTGATGGTTTAGGTCTTCTGAGGACAAGGTTTCAGGTACACTTCTGCATAAAGAATGTCTGACAGTACCACAGAAGCAAAACTCAATCCATTGTCTGTACTACGGAGGCTATAGTACCAGATGATCACAAATTACAAATCTTTGTGAGCATAATTGTTATGTACACTGTGAAACGATTTATTCCGAAAACCGAACTAACGGATTTCTCGATGATGGTAATAATTTTCTGGTATACAACATGGTCCCAAGCCCCGGTTTAGAGGGTGGGTTAGGCGTGGGGCTAGCATCACCACACCACAAAAGCTACCAAACTGATAGACAAACTTCAACGCATACGAAATATACTGAAATCACCAAAATTCGAAATAACAATCTTATTCTACGATGGAATCGGAGAAGCGAAATAACGCGGGATGGTGAAAGCCTCCGAGGAGCCAGTCAGCCGATGTGTCTTATCCCGATGAAGGCGAGAATTGGAATCGGGACGCCAAATTTTTGTACTATCCACAAGACTGGAGAGGCTGCCCAGGTAGCCTAAGAAATCAGAAGATGTGGCGTACAAGTGCTGGGTATTTGCGAAAGCAGATGCAATGGATGTGGACTATCAAAATTGTCAACTGGAGAGTCAGTAATCTACTCCGGTCACCCAGACGACGACCACGAGCACACTCAGGTAGTGGGTGGCTATCATGATATCACCAGTGGCAGCCAAAGCACTAATGCAGTGGGAACCAATTTCATCCAGGATCGTGACAACAGGTTTCAACTCAAAAGGAAGGTAGGTCATAATTAACCAGTGCTATGTACGGGGCTAAAAACAACAAGACAAGAAGGAAGATTTTCACAGACAAGTACAAATAGTAATGGACAACATTCCAAATGATGACATCCAAATCCTCATGGGCGATATGAATGCAAACCAAACTGGGAGCAGATAATGCAGGGAGAGAACTCATCATGGGTCGAGAGGCTCTCGCTCGGAGAAATGAATGAGAACGGAGAATTTTTCACAGACTTCTGCTCTTCCAAAGATTTTGTGATTGGAGGAAGCGTGCACAAACACAAGGACACATACAAAGCAACACGGATTTCGCCTGACGGACATACCACAAACCAAATCGATTTCATACCAATGGTCCTCAAGGAAGTAGAGACGCAGCCTGCTGGATACAAGTCGAGAGGGGGAACAGACGTTGGCTTAGACCATAATCTAGTTCAAAGAACCTTCAGGGCGAAGCCGCGAATCCTTCTGAATAATTGGAGACGGGCAGCAATTCAAGCTCGATATTCAGAAACTGAAGGACGAAACTACAAGGGATGCTTTCACTACAGATCAAATCAGAGCAAAGTCAGAGACACCACGTGCCATCACTGAGGAAACCTGTGTGGAAGAACTTTGAAACTCTCTGAAGGTGACACTCAAGGAAACGTGCACAACTGTTCTAGGAAGAAAGGAGAGACAAGACAAGCAATGGCTCTCAACGGATACCTGGGAGCTAATCGAGGAGAGAAAAATGGTGAAAGAGAAGATGACTCAATGCAGAGATGGACAACAGAAGGAGGAGCTAAGTTAAGTGCACACTGCAATGAGTAAAGAAATGAGGGATAGAGCTGGGAAAGAAAAAAGACAATCCCATGGCACGCTTACAACTGAAACAGAACAGATCACGGGTAAAATAGATCTCAGGACATTATATCATATATCCAGGTCTCTAACTGGGAAGAGATCAACGCAAGTGAAAAATATAAAAGATTTCCAAAGGAACTTAATTACTGGGGAGGAGAGACAAACAAAACAATGGGCTGATCACTTCAAAGGACTCTTAAATCGACCATCACCTGCCACTCGCCCAGAAATACACCACCGCCAACGGCACGCACGGAACTGCCTGTCAGTGGACACCAATCCACCGACGAAAGCAGAAATAATAAATGCGATCTAGCTACTGAAGTCCGGGAAGGAAGCAGGATCATACGGAATTCCACCACCCCAAAGCACTGAAAACGGACCCAGAGACTACAGCAGATGTCCTCACGCCAATATCGCAAAAGGTTTGGAAAGGTGGAAGAAAGGCTACCTCGTCAGGCTTCCAAGGAAGGGCGACTTAGGTCAGGGCAAGAGCTGGCATGGAATAGTGATCTTGTTCACACCAAGTAAAATACTGAGTCGCATCATCCTGGAGAGAATAAGGAATGCACTTGTTACAGAACTCCACCAGCCACCGAAACAAGCTGGATTCAGGAAAGGCAGGTCATGTGCTGATCAAATTGCAACTCTATGCATCGTCATCACAGAACAAAGCATAGGATGGCAGTCAAACATCTACCTCAACTTTATCGACTTCGAAAAGGCCTTTCACAACGTCGGCCGAGAAGTAATTTGGAAACCACTTGAACGCTACGGTGTAACTCAATTCTTTGTCAACCTAACTTAACAGCTATATGACAATGGCACGTATCAGGTGATTTGCAACGGAAAACTCGGCGAGGCGTTCTAAGTACGCACACGGTGTAAGACAAGCTGGCTGCCTATTATCACCGATGATATTCTTAGTTGTGGTGGACTGGATTATGCATCAGACTGTGAGGAGCGAGGAGTGAGAAATACGCTGGGCGGCCGGTAAGAAGACTCTAGAAGATCTGGATTTTGCAGATGATATTTGTCTAATACCACGCAGACCCGAAGACTTGCAGGTAGAAACCGAGAAACTAGCAGAAGAGGCTGGCAGTGAAGACAGGACTGCAGGTGAACATGGAGAAGATGGAGATGATGAAGATAACCAACGAACCTCAACAAAAACGACCAGCACCAATCACCATTAACGGGAGAGATTTGACGGAGGCTACCTCCTTTCATTATCTAGGAGGCACGGTTTCAACCACAAGCATCCGGAACGGATGAAGATGTCAAAATCAAATACAATCGGAAAGGCGGGATACGCCTTCATCAACCTGAAACCAGTTTGGAAATCTTCTACACTCAGCATAAGGAACAAGGTTCGCATAATCAACACTAATGTCAAGTAGGTCCTTCTATGCAGGCCAGAAACTTGCGCCGTGTGTCACGTAAAGGATTTCCAACAGGTTGCAAACTTTCACCAGTAGCTGCCTTCGCTCCACAATGAGGGTCAAATAGTCAGAAAGAATTAGTAACAAGAAACTCTGGCTGAAAACAAACCAACCCATAGCGGATTGCTCAACAAATATATAGGAGAAAATGGAGATGGATTGGGCATACATTGAGGAAACCGTCAAATGAAATCGTGTGCCAGGCCCTCGAGTGGAATCTCGATGGGAAGCGACGAGTGGGTCGTCCTAGGCTGACATGAAGAGATCGCGTGAGGAGGAGACGAGAGCTTATGGACAATCGTGGACCCAGCTGAAGATGGTGGCAGAAAATAGAAGAAAGTGGAGATGTGTTGTTGAAACCCTTTGTTCCACTCGGGAACCAAGGAAATAATAATAATATAAAAATAATACAACATGGTCAGTTTTTCCAATGAATCTCTCTAAGCACCTCATAGGGTTACTGAATCAGCTCCGTGTGCATGCCTAGACATACGGCCAAGCAATCCAAAGTCAAAGGATTATGAATGAAGTGGAATTTAGAAACATTCCTTGAAATCTATTTGAACGTCCACGATTGTTATTGTTATTGTTATATCTCTTACCAGAATCCGCATATAGATGTTGAAATTTGCTGTAATTCGACACATATATTAGCATCCTAGTAACCACTTAAAACTTGTAATCAATTGAAAGAGTTCAATAAAGGCTGAAATACACCTTTTTGCCCCTGATTTTCCGATACTTTATCCTCACTACTGTCCTGGCTGTAAAAACTACCAGAGGTGGTATCGCCGCCATCTTAGTAGTGGAACATGTTGTAACAACTTACCCTTCGACGTCCTCCTCAAATATGCACTTTATGCTTAACATACTGGTTTATTTGTTTGAGTTTAGGGGATGGGGGAGAATTAAAATTCGGATGATAATTAATTGGCCTTAAAGATGTGACCTAAAATTATGACTATTAAGGTACCAAAAGAAAGCAGTTCTCATTTTAGAACATCTATTAAACATATCTTTTATCTTACAGTGAGTGAGTGCGAATTTGGAGTAAATAACTTCTCAATTGTTCATTCGACTGGTTGCCACCCTGTTTTCCTAATTGGAATAAATGTTAGTGCGTACGAAAGAGTGACTATAACTTACTTGTTAGCTGATTTTATTCGGCTGTTGGTTTTTTGAGACTTCCTAGACGCAGAATTTCCTCTCTCGTCCGTGCGATAAGATAGATACACATTGGAAAGATCAATAGGCTGTAAAAGGAGGAAAATGAATAATAATAAATTTACAACCAGTGATTAGTACATCGCCTTTTTAAGAAATGTAGTAGTGGAAAACGTGTATGAATGTATTGAAAATGATTTTTTAAAAAGTATTTAGCAGTCATTAATTAATTGTTTTGAGTAGATTGTTAAATAGTGCATAGAAAGTGGCCGCTGTAATTGTGGGCTACAATCTACTACACATTAACATTCATTGATGTTAAGCTGGTGCTTTGGTATAGTTCACCGATTTCCCGTGCGCGTCACTAAAGCATTTCCAACAGCCTACTGCAGTCTTTCATCAAAAGATGCCTACACTCAGTACTGAGGACCAGATGGCTACTCACAATGGATAAGGGATAAGGAGCTCTGGCAGCAAACCAGTCAAAAGTGTATCGCCTAACTGGAGAAAATATCCATGGGTTGGATAAACTCTGAGGAGACATTAAAATAACAACAAACATCAGAGCCTCAAGTGGAACGCGAATAGGAAGCATCGCGTTGAGGCCTGAGGGTAACATGAAGGAAACAATGTGAGTAGGAAATGACACCTGGAAGTGGTAGTAGAGGGCAAAATGTTATGGATATGCACCTCTAAGGCCGTATATTTTGTCTGCAATGCAAGGGAAGAATAATAATACATGTGGAATGACTGAAACATTAAAGTAAAGCAGTCAAACAACTAAGATTTATAAATGGTAGTCTGAAGCTGTTCTCGATATAAGCTGTTCTCAGTTGACCAGTTAGGTGACAAAACCATTCCTATGTTGTTTATTGACCTAAAACCGCTGTAAAGTTTACTACCGTTAACGTTATTGTATGTGTTCTTTATATTATTTGTTTAGTCAGTAAATCACAAGACAGAAAGTTAATCGGCTCGTTAAGATAAAGAGTGAGATAAAAGTCTTTCAATTTCCTGAATGTTTGGTTTGTGACACAATCTTAATAAAGGCCACTTAGTTTTATGCAGTAAACAGTGATTCCGTACTGGATATGAAATACTGGACTCTAAAAATGAAAGCCGTGTGCAAGGTCACCGGGTTGGTTGCATGTGAGTACAGCTGAGTGGTTTTAAAGTAAGGCATAACATTTCCCCAGTGACTCCTACTTTACAATGATTTAATGGTAAATAATACTATGTTGCCATATTCCATATCTAATAAATTAATATATTATAAAATTGTATACCAAAGTAATCCAAGTTTCATTCTTCTGTGAAACATACGTACTATTGTTTATATTTTGTAGTTTCTTAAAAGATAAAATGTTTCTGCTCCAAAATAGCTATCACTGATTGTTTAATAAAAGAGAAACTGATTATTTTGGCTAAAATGAAGTATGGCGACCCAAGCAAACGACCAATCAGTGATCTCAAACAAATCAGACATAGGTATTAGGATTATATGATACAAATTTGTGGAAAGGATTTATAGAGCGAATCCCTGACTGCTGTACAAATGTATTAATTCCAATGATCCAATGTCTTGTCATACTCCGGAACAACTGTTCACATGGACCGATAGAGCGGATATGGACGACTACTATCGATCCTTGCTATGCTCACAGCACTGTAAATCATTCTGATTTTGTCGATCTGTTGAAGAATTCTGGCTCATTTGGAAAACAGGATTCGAGTAATTAATAGGTCACGAGATGACATGACACGCAGTAATGTACAGCAATTGGTTTGGACTGACATTGATAACTTTAATGACAAACTGGAGAGCATCCTGATATGTATCCATATATATATATATATATATATATATATATATATATGTGTATGGTGGTCTCTCTTTCTATTGCTCTCTTAGTCTGTGACCATTTCACTTGGATGATTCTGTCTCCTTTAACAATGTATATTCCCCTTATATTCTATACAATATGAGTGTTTGTTGACAGTCCGTTGCTTGGTGACATATATCCATGTTATATGTGTGGTTGTTGACATGTCTGCTATATTTTGCTATGTATATATGGATCGACACTCCATTATAATTAGCCATTCATGTTAAGACTGTCCATTGATTTGTTCACACACTTGTCTGGACATTCATATATATTTCGCTCTCACAGTCTTGTGTGACACCTTGGTGTGATACCATTTATTGCTTCTCCTGGTGTTTTGGAAAATAGAAGTATCATCGCAAACCTAGTGGTCTTCTGATTTCCGCCTTCTTGCGTCAGGACTATTAAATTCTCGACCAGTACATAACAATAATTTGGCGACGAGTACATAACACATTCCTAGAACACATGGGAGGTTGCCACCATGTATAACTATTTTTAACTGATCAATTAGTTTGCTATAAAATTTCCTATTCAAATAAAGCCTTTTTACTATTCCGGTAATGGGATAATTTGTTTGAGGTAGTTTGGTTCGTTGTTCGCTTGGGTCATAATACTTTTGTCTGGTCATTAGTTTCACACTTCAGAGAACAGTTGTAAGTAGAACGATAAAAGTACAAGACTTACCGGTTCTGGAGCTTTCTTTTCTGGTTTTCGCATATTGTTTCCTGTGTACGCTACGCATTTCAGTTGCCACTCACCTATATCTTCATTCCATTGCACATTCTGCTGAATAAGGGCCTTGAATAAAATTAAAATCGTGAATTTCAACGAAATAGTGCTACAACACTTAATCAACCTCACTTTGTTTAGTATTTGCTCAAAGATTATTTAAAATCATTTTTTGGTCACATGATTTTATCACAAGCTGACATCGATTGGAGAACCATTAGAAAACCTGGGAGTACTAGACAGCCGTTTCGTCCTAGTTTAGGAATTTTCAGCATTAACCACCCATCGAGGATAGAACCCAGGTCTCAGTGGCTTAATGGTCTGCAAGCTCACCTTGTGACCAGAAGGTCCTGGGTTCGAACCCCATTAGATGCGTACCGCTGAAGAGACGTAGACCGAGACAAGACAGCTGTCCAATACTCCCAAATTTTCCAGTGGTCTTCTAACCAATGTCAGCTCATGATTAAATCCTGTAACCAATCGATCGAATCCCTATAAACCAATACTTGAATAAAATGATTTTATTTTGTCGTAATTTTTGGAACAATATTCAGAATACTTTATAGTCCTGATAAGTAATATTTTTGTTCAAACCAAGATACAGTAGCAATTCATGTAGTTTTCGACTCTTAGTAGTTTAAAATTCACGTCTAAAACTCATCAGATTTTGAGGATTAAGAGTTGAAGTTTCAGTGAGCTACTTCAATACATCATAATAACGTAGATGCATTCAATATTAACCACTTTGTCAACGTAGTAGAAGATTGAAAGATCACTTCATGGTTGTTTGCTCAAACCCAACTCTATATTTTGGCGGGAGTCATCGATACTCCAGTCATCGTTCCATCGTTCGCTGTTCCTTAGAAGACAGAAGTACTATCAGAAGTATTATTGTGATTTATTGTTTTGACATTTATTCTTAGAATTCGTGTACAATAACCTAATGGTTGGCTCTATATTGGTGCAAGAATAAAGGGTTCTTGAGTCACCAATCTGTGTTCTGGTTTGTCGCGTTGGTTATTGCACATAGTTCCTGAAAGTCTTCTAAGGAAAGTGTGAAGTCCAGTGTAGTTAGACCTGGACATTTGGCAACTTTCAGAAATTATGCATTCGCCAATATTTGTTCAATTATTTCGCCTACATTTGTACCCATTTATCTTTGCTTTACTATCGTCTCATATTTGTTGACTTGTATTCTGGACTCTATAAAATTGTGACAACGTAAACCAATATAATTTTGTGCAGATGTTTACAATGATATATGTTTGTATCACCACCTACCTAAACTAGAACCTGCAGTTGGAAAGAATAAAGTTGACTTAAATCTCAACTACGATTGAAAAGACACATTGTGGTACTTTATTCCTCAGGAGGAGGGAAATATTTACTACCTTTAAAGAAAGTGGGTACCCTTACAATTTTATCGAAAGTGTCTAAACTCAAATCAAGCTACCAGCATGAAACCATCTTCATAATCATTAAAAAATTCATCTTAAAATATATATCAAGATTGTTTCTGAAATAACGGTTATAATACTAGAACCATTCACACAAATCAGCAGAGTCACTTCATTCAGTATCATGCAAACCAAAGACCCAACAAAAAATAAGACAAGATCAACACAATCTGCAAGATAAGTTACATGAACTGTAAAAATGAAAGTTTTGCAATTAAACCACCCAGAGCAAAGAGCTCAACCACATCAAAATAATACAGCTAAGCCACAAATCTCTATTATTTCAGTTTTGCTAATCAACATATGGAATCGCCAGTTTTGAAGTTGGAAGTCGGTAAACACGAGTGATAAAATTCAGTCAACACCAGCACTAAAGACCAGAAACATGATATTGGTTACTACTTTAATGATCAATGATTGCATTCATTCTGCATGAGCCACAGTAGCTCAATGGTAACGTCTCCGACTACAGCAATGAGCGATATTGATATCAACTACGGGGAAGTTGCAGGTAAGCCCTGTTGACGTCAGCCAACAAGCAACAGGCCTATATCCAAGACTTCTTACCAGCTGCCTCCAACCACCTAACATTCACTGCATACTAGGCAATAAGAATGTCTGATAAAACACACCTACGAAGTACCACAGGACCCTGCACATACGTGTATCAGTTCACGTTATTAAACGGCAAAGCATTACAAGCAGGAGAAGTACTCACTAATCAAATTTGTATAGGGAAGCATCTTTTTAAAAATTCCGTACATTTTGTTTCCTTGATAAATTTCGATAGAGAAAGACCAGATTTGCAGTATAAAGTGATATCATTCTATTTCACAGGTTCTCATCAGCTGCAAACTACCTGAAATTACAATGCTTATAAATAGTAACATTTCATACTTCAATGTTTGAAAGTTAATAGTGAAAACATTGTAAGATGAACGCATCCGGAATATAAGTATTACAATTTTTAGTTTAAGTTACCATGAATTTATATACTATCAAACTATGAAAGGAAAAAGGCGGGGTGAGAGACCTGGACCTAAATGTAAAACGAAGAAACGATGTAACGGTCGAAAAGTCGATCTACAGAAAAGAAACCTAGACTGGACAATACCTTCACTACAACAGCTTTTGCCCTAAAAGCTATAAGCTACGATTACTAGGGACACTTTACGACAGGGCCAGGAAGTTATGTTCGCCTAACAAGGTAGAAGGAGAATTAGGCTTTGTTGAAAAATGCCTTAAAGGAAATGGGTATCCAAAAGCATTTATCCTAAAGTACAGCAAAGAAAGAGATGAGAAAGAGAAGTCTCCAACAGTTGAGAAGAAGAAAGTGTTCATTTGCCTCCCATACAAAGGAGAAACAGTATCGCAGAAGATTGAAAAGAGGATGAAAGGAGCAATAAAGAGATGCTTCCCTGCAGCCAAGCTGGTGACACTATACAGCACTACATGCTCTATAAGCCAATCAAAACTGGATAAGTGTCCTGCTGATGTTACCTCCAACTGCATTTATAAATTTACGTGCACCTGCGGCAGCAAGTACATTGGAAGGGCAGAAAGAAGGGCTTCTATCCGGTTTTCAGAGCATATTCCGAGAAACTTATGCCTAAAAGGAAGCAGATATTTACAAAGTGTAATTACCAGACACCTTGTGGATACGGGTCATTTTGTCGAGATTTCCGAATCCTTAAAAATATTAAACATACAAAGGTAAGTGAATCTACTACGATTTGCTGAAGCAATTGCAATCAAACGTCTCAAACGAAACTTATGCACACAGAAAGAGAGTGTAGTCAATCTCTCACTCCCTAGGTAACAGTCTCACTTTCATTACGCTGATTAGTCATACACACTAATGAGCTCAGCTTACTAAGCAAGTTTTCACCTTGATGAACTTTAACCTTGTTGAGTTGCCCTATTGACGTACACGCTAACACTGTTTATTAGATTTTTCTATTTTCTCTCACCCCCCTTTTTTCTTTCATAGTTTGATAGTATATAAATTCATGGTAACTTAAACTAAAAATTGTAATACTTATATTCCGGATGCGTTCATCTTACAATGTTTTCACTATTAACTTTCAAACATTGAAGTATGAAATGTTACTATTTATAAGCATTGTAATTTCAGGTAGTTTGCAGCTGATGAGAACCTGTGAAATGGAATGATATCATTTCATATTGCAAATTTGGTCTTTTTTTCTCTATCCAAATCTGTATAGTTTGATTAAGACAAAGACCTGTGACTTTTTATTGTCGGAAGTGATAATCAGTATTTTATAGCAACTTGAGAAAAGAATCACTGGTACCTTTTAGTTTTCTTTTGCGAGTTGCTTCTTCTTTATGGTAAAACAATCCAAATATTTTGGACTTCAAAGAAATTTGGATTTTTGAATGGCTATTCGTTTAGTAGTGGTTTTTTAAATATAAAACATATTCAATGTGTGAACAAGGTATGTGTGATTAAAACAGGTGACTGTTAAGAGACACCATGAAGTCTTTAACTCTTGTTTTGAGTCATGTGAGTAGCTGCAGACCACATGGCTACGGATATCTAGAGGTCAGAAACGAATGGTTGAGGACTGTTGCTGATATGCCTCAAAATCGTTCTCAGTGTTTCAATCCTGGTTATCATCCATTTAAGCCTACATGCTTCCTCCTTTACATTTCCACTTCGTATAGTTTTTCTGGATTTCATTTTCTTTCTAACTTTACGTATACTTTATGAAATGTGACAACTTGAACGGATGCATTTAGGAGACACAAAAAACTTAAGTCTTCAATTTAACTCAAAAATAATCGTTGCTATTATAATGACATACTATGAATATAAATAAATTCCAGTCTTTAAATGTAGACTTGATGTTTGGAAAAGTGCATAACTCTCTTGACAAAAATGATACTAATATGAGAGCATTGAAAGCGTCTACAAATATGCACCAAAACACAAATCTAATCTCTAATAACCGCTTGCAAATTACTTGATATGGTTGTGGAATAAATCTGTCAATAATCAATGTGTGGTGTGCTAATTCTCTACTAAGTTGGCGTATATTATCCAGTAAACCTTCCATTTCACGAGTATGTTCATTCTTTAGATCTTCCAGTTCAGATTTTGCTTGCAGATACATTGTGCTTAGTTTACGCAGTTTTCTACGCTTTCCAGCAGCTTCTTCCTGAAGAAATAAATAAATATGGAGACTTTTATAAAAATAATAAATAGAGGGAGAAATCAAAAGTATCTATAATCAAATCATATTCGTTATAAGCTAACTATACAAATGGAAGTAGATTCTCACCATGGTTGTTTCCCTTAGAAACACAAAATATTCTGATTGCACAGAATTTGCGATCATGAATAAAGCAAAATGACAACGGTTTGTACAGAATAAGATGATGTCACTGTTTAATTCGTCAATTTCCCTTCAGCTAAATACAACCTACAAAATATTTATTAAGCGCATGTACACAGAGCATTTTTTAACATAATTCGAAAGGTAACATAGTGTAAGTTAACAGGAGAGATTCAAAAAGTGGTGCTCAAAAGAAGTGCTCAGAAGTTACACTTATGTAATTCATACACAACGGGTTCAAGTTCAAACAAATAGAATGCTTGAATACTTTGAATAGAAGGCTGCATAATAAAGACAAGAAGTGGACAAGCTGATTATAAGGACATAGCTTAGACTGTTTGAACATGTACCAGAAATTCTACGTCTCGAAAGGTTCCAGTCATGCAATCTTCAGGTATCTCCTTGATACGAGTCATATGGTGGACATTCTGAGATCCTTAATGGTTATCAATAGACAATATAATTCATTTTTCTCAAGTTCCTCGAAGCAGTAGCTATCAAACGTCTAAAATCTGATTTCTGTGTGTTAGTAAAAATGCAGTTATTAGTTTTTCCTTACTCTGGTAACTCGATTTTTTAACTCTTGCTTTGATTGTATTACCTAATCTTTCCCCTTAATTTCTTTCCTCTAGGTATATATATATATATATATATATGTATACATGATTATCTCTTTCTGTGAATACACTGTTACTTTCCATCTTGTCTTTTGCAAGCTGTGGCTTAATTGGTGGCCTGGGAGATCGGTTAGGTGTTGTGCAGTTTATTGGTGTAGACAAGCAATGGTCAGCGTGTCTGTGTCTATCTGGGCGTCCTTATTTCAACTCAACGTTTTGCAAAATACAATACTTACACACAACAGACCCAGACGGTAGTCGGTTCACTGCAACCACCAGATATCTTGTGAATGAATGATGCATGACTGTCCATTTATCATCATACTAGCTGTTCAGCTACCTATGATGACTGAATTGTAATGATGGCAAGATTAACAGTTAGGTACTATAAGTCAACCGACGAAGCGCCAGAATAATAATTCAGAGGTCAGTGATTTGAATCCTGAAACTATTCAGATCCTCATCTCACCTTTAGTCAACACTCATTACATAAATATGATTTTCTAGTTTAGAAGATTTACGGGATATGATAGACTGTAAACTGTTGTGCCTTCGACAACTGGTTTTTCAACAACAGAAATGGACTAAAGATTCTCAAGTCTACTTCGACTGTGAAGGCTTTTTAAACTTATGTAGCTAATAAAATAAATATGTATTTCACATTCTGGCAGGACGTGAAATCTATGTGACTCCTGGAATACAGCATCTTTTTTGAACAGCATACATGATAATCAGTCAGTGAATACGCTAACCTTATATGGAAACAATATGAGCTCGAATGCTTCAGACAGGTATTACATGTTCACCGATCTCCTATAATAATAATTATCATTATTATTGAATGTATTGAATAAAACTGTTTTGTTTTTAGATGGACAATAAGCTTTCGAATATGTTATACTTTCATTTTCTCACCCTTATTGGAAGTATTATCGTCAATTTGACATGTTGTATCTTTCCAGAGTGTATTTTGGCTTCCACAATTATTGGATTACGCCTAGAAGACAGGCATTCATCTATGCTGGGAAGTAGTAAAACTATCGTCCTCGTCAAAATTCATTTCACTAATCACAGGTTTCTTATAACCCAATTTTCCTAATCAGTCTAAGTACTTGTGAAGTTGTGTTGACTGAGGGGGTTAGCAGATATGTTAAGCAGGTCAGGCCACCACTTCTCTTGTCGAAGAATGTTAGCTGATTTGGAATTACACTGAGAAAGAGTTGCGGGTGGTCAAATCAAAACATGGAATTATTTTATGAAGATTTTGACCGTTAATTTGGGTCATGTAGGGAACCTAAGACTGTTTGTTTGGGGTCCTCAAGGTGCTACAAACTGATGAGTGGAGACTGTTGGTGACACAAGTCAAAATCGTTGTTACTGGCACAAAGGTATTCACACATCCTCAAATCCTCATTATTTTCCATGTACCTGTGATTCTTCCCCACATATTTCCGTTTATTTATGTTTGGTTGCATTTCTTTGCTTTTCTCTGTTCCTATGTGTGCTTTGTGAAGAATGGCGACTTGATGTGCTTCAGAACTGTGTGCAGTCTCAAGCCAAAAATTCAGTCCAGTTGAGAGGGCGGACAAAATAATCATTCTGTCATCTACACTTTGCTGATCTGACTGTGTCATATTCTTATAAGTGTATTTATGTAATTTAAAAGCTAAGTTATTGTATATAATTCACCTGTAAATTATTGTACTTTTCTTCAATATTTATACGTTCCTCTTCCTTTTCTTTTAATTTCTGATTCAGCTGTTCAGCGCGTAATTGTTGTTTACGTAATTCAGCTGCTGATTGCTCTAGCAGTTTTTCTTGTGCTTCAGCTTTCTCCAATAGATTTTCTCCGCCAACAATTATGCGACTTTGCAAAGCTTCCATTCGTTTCATAAGATTGTTACGAGTTTCTTTAGTTTGTTTCAATTCATTTTCTTTCTCTTCAAGATGTTGCTTATGTTGTATTGAACAGAAAAGAAACAAAAATAGATGCATAAGAAAAACATGGTGGAAAAAGAAATGAAGATCCCAAAAACCTAGGTAAAAAAAATCTCTAATTTGTTAAAATCATTATCATTTTTGATATCCCATTCGATCAATTTATGTTAAACCGAACTGACCGGTCTTTGTTGATGTATCAACTACCTAGTAAAGACGCATCGCTGATGCCTTGAGTTTGGCAAAGTGTTACATAGGAGAGCGCCCCTACAGCGTCCAATGCAATCAGCTCCACAGGAACATGTAAATGAGGAGGTGCACTTAGAGATAGACAGAAGAGATGGTTTATCCTTCACACATAGTCGAATCATACTTCGGTTGGAGACTACTAATTAATTACTAGTCAGCGATATAAAAACAGAGTTGGATGCAATTTAATAGACGGATTTTAGTAAATTCAGCAATAGTGTCATATTTGAATGTCAAACTCATAAAGAGTGTGTTCCTTGGTACTTTGATGTAGCTAGGAGAGGTTTCTGCCTTCAGATTCCTTTCAGTAAGATTTCTAGTATATCCATAATGGAATTATACTCTACCACGGTGCCCAAGTTTTCTCCTTATTCATTAGGATATTCATTATTTAAGTGTTATACGATAGTTCTCCAGTTCTTTATCAACCGTATCTATATAAAAAATTTTCAAGATTATGGAACAAAGTGAGTGGATAAAAGGTCCTTCTCTTCTTTGAGGTACCCAACTGGTGAATCTAGTGTACCGCCCTGTAAAGGCTTGCTTTCGGCATATTGATCTTTTTAATGTGTCACTTACTCTTCCCTATAGCATTACATATAAGAAGTGAAATGTGGAACTCAATAGTGAATAATGGATATCCTAAAAGGCTTATCGATAGAAGCATCTCCTAGACAAATCATAATGCCAAGGAACACACTCTTTATGAGTTAGACATTCAAAGTTGACACTATTGCTGAATTTATTAAAAGTCGTCTACCCAATTAATATCAGTAAGAAGAAGCTTGAGCATTGTGGAATAGATCAAATAAAGTATAATTATATTTTAATGGTTTACACACAATGATAAGTTTTGTTATTGGTAATATTTCAAGCAAAATTACGAACAAAAAATTCCAACAGTGGTGTGAACACGGGCAGTAATTTTGCTCGAAATATTACCAATAACAAAACTTATTATTCCGTGTAAGCCACTGAAATATAATTATACTTTATTTGCATGACAATAACGCAGCTATATAAAACAAAAGTACATACTAATGACCAATCATATATAAATTGGTCAAGTAGTGCATGACAATTATAATTATTCGTCTGTCCAAGTTTACCAAACGCTATTTTTATGCCTCTGAGTTACACCTTATACTCTTCAATCAAAGAAAGTGTTATTTAGCTGATAATGGCGATTAGTAGAATCCAGGATCAGCATTTCATCCGATTTAGTACTCGTTCGATGTAAATAATAAGTGCTGGGTTTAACTCTCCTTCGGTTACACTGACACACAATGAGATAAAGATACATCCGATTGACGAATCCTTATTAGGATTTCACTGTTAACCACTATCAACCAAATGACGCTAGATGAAGAATCATTTGTTAAGATCACCTCCATCTGGCTAGCAAGTACTAATGGTTGGTATGAGTGCTATACAGCTACTTATATCAATCAGTTAGTAAAATACAGACTTATGAATTTTTCGAATTCATTTATTTCTTAAGCGTCTAGCTTGAAGCACCATTAGATATAAAGATTTGATTATATGTATTCAAAAGCGACTTATATTTATTGTGAGAAACAGATGTTCCAGATATACCGAACCAATGATTATCGGAAACTAGTTTACAGTGAACTCATTATTAGTAAAAAGAGAAAAGCTGTATAGCTGTAACAAAAGTTGTGTTTTAAATTGACAGCCCAGGTAACTTCGGCAGTTATGATGGACAAAATTATTTTCACTTTAGATCTCGAAAATCACTGAAAACCAAGGGGTGCTGGACAATGTTTCATCCTACTTTGTGACTTTACGACTGTACCCTTCAACTGCCGGTGACATATATCGAGAATTGACAGAAATTAGAATCCATGGGTCGTTGGAATCCATTCTAGTGGCTGAATGGTGACTGCGCTCGCCTCATAACCTGAAAGTACTAGGTTGGATACATGGTTGAGTCATAGATGCTTATTGGCGAAAAGACCTGAGTTAAAACCAAATAACTCTCTAGTATTCCATAGTTTTCAGTGCTTCTCTAACTGAAGACAGTTATCAAACTAATTTGAAACCAATCAAATTCCTTCAAACCAACACTAAAAAGTACTAATTTCGTTGAAACCTTTCTAGGAATTGAAAGGGAATTTTTGCATGTACACTAAGCAGTGTGTGGTATTGTAAATGTTCAGTCCTTTTTTCACGATGATACATTATGATTTGCTACGTTTTAACCATTGTGTTTTTGAATTCACTTATGATGAGTTGGTAATTCAGAAGAATCTTCAGCCAATTAGTTCTATTTTGAGCTGTTACAACAATTTGTCACTGAAACGTGACTTGAGTGGTTATTGAGTTGGGTTTCAATATATATTCTATAATTCTTTAATTTCTGATTACATATTTTGGGTAAATTTTTAATTCAGTTATGCTCATGGTTTCAAAACTTTCAGATATCCAATTAAGACGTTGGTATATTTAGATTTAGTGATTAGAAACTATTCGCAATAAAATCTCGTGTGTAAGATAAAAGGCGAATGTCGTCACGCGGGTAGAACAATTCAACCGAGGGAAGTAAGGGACTATGGTGAAGTACAGAAGTGTCTCAGCGACGGCATGTTCTGCTATTCATAGATTCACATTAGACATTTTGGAAATATTGCACAACTTCAAATCTTCAGAAGGGTCAGTCAATCGGTACATGGAAGAGAAAACAAACTGACCATCATAAAAGTCATCTCTCTTACTATTATCTCTTACCTGAATACGATTTCGTTCTTCTACTGCCATATCTTTTTGCTCTTCTAATTTACGTCTATCAGCTTCAATCATACGTTGAATTTCAGCCATCTTTTGTTTACTCAGCTTTGCAGTATTCTGTTTCAGTTTTCTATCTCTTTTCTCTTGACTATCAACACCACTGGAAGCGTAGTTGCCATCATCATCATTATCAACTTCATCGCCAACATTTGCAGGATCTGAAGGTATACCACCTTAAAAAAGAAAAGAGTATTATTTCACCCTTTTCCTAATTAAAAAATGACACCTGAGATACTAGATCACTTAATATTTAGCAGAATAAAACGACAAACACAATTCTACGGAATGAGTCAATCAGCTGTTCATTTTGTGGAGAATCGGTTGATCTCAGTACATACTGAAGTTAAGGCACTCGGGTATAACTCAACCCCTCCTCTTACAGCTCATAAACTCTTGCATCCTACCTATTCTTCTTTATTGTTCACCTTATTCTTTCCTGGTTTGCTTAAAAAGGACTATTTCACAATTAGTAGAATGCTGAAGACTGTCAGTAGGGCGTGTCGATAGGCACTTGACTTCGTGCAATAAATTTGCTAAAGGGATTTTGTCTGACTTGGAGCATCCACTTTACCCTCAGCTTTCACCTTGCATCTCCTCAGGTAGAATGAGAAGTAACTTCAGAAAACTGTATGCTCGCACGTCTAAGTATAGAGATTATATGATACCATACTTGGCACATATTTTATGTGGTGAAAATAGTGTCAGGCAAGAATTAACTAACCTTTTTTCATCTAGTAAGTAAACAACTTCCTCCATCCATCCTTATAAACCTTCAAGTTTTACTTTTAGTATTTCTATTATATTTATAGTCCTGTTGCTTCTTTGCTTTACTTTCATAATTGCAAAGACCAACTTATCTCTATGACTGCTGTACTTTTTGTTTTTCCCCTCACCATATCATGTAAAGAGAAAATTATATTCAATATTTTTGAACATGCTAGGATTTTCATACCGCATCGACAATACTGCGTGAAACAAGCCCACGGCAATTTTCACTTGTATTATTATTATTATTATCTTAGCTGTTATCATTATTATTATTATTATTTCCATTTTATATGCTGCATGTTTTTGACATTACCCCTATTGTAAATGTGGAAAATTTTCTGTGTAATTAATTTTATTTATAATTTGAGGAAATTAGATGCAATATTGTGATTAATGCTGAAGATTCCATTCTGTATCACAAGTACTGTTTTTGGAATAAAGTAAATTATTATTATTATTATATTGGAAATGGGCTAGTCAACCATAGTTAGACACCTGTCAACAATGTCGGTTACATATTAAGCACATAATCGTCCATTTAGCTTGGTTGAACTCTAGTGGTACTATGTTACCCGAATTCTGCCATTCTTCAGAGTTCACATCTGCCAAAGAGTTCCGAAGTGGAATTAAATTACTATTCATGTTTTTGATAGTTCTGTAATTGATATTACTTCTTGGAAAATTGTACCTTGAATACTTCAGATTTAGTGAATTAAAAATTACGAACAAAAATGCATTTACATTACTCAACTTACTAACTTCGAGTAATTAATAAATGCTTACACTTCTGTAAAATTGAAGTGATTATCCATCTAACATTAATTTTGTAAAAATATTTTCAGTATCTGATATATATCAACCGTGGATGCTTAACTAATTCACTTCTACTGACTTATTTTGCATACCACTAATTCACATAGTCATGTACAAAGTTTCCAAAACTCATTTTTACCACGATTTTCGACTTACTGCTTTGTGAATAGATGAATATATACAAAGACTGGTCAGTTAGTAGTCAAACTCTAATGAGTGAATTTTGATAGAAAAGAGCATACACCGCAGGGAATAAAATGGATTGAACACAACACTGGGTTACCACTGTGAGTGGGGTTAGGATTCTATTATGTATGAGTTTTAACCTTCAGCAATTTTATCACTATTCATTCGTTGCATTCATAGTGGAACATCGACTTCAGTGGCACACCTCTACTGAACTTGGTCCTTTGCTAATACTTTCAGGCGACTAAGGAAATGCCCACTAGTTTTCATTTCCTCTCCATTTGACTTTCTCTGTATCATCCTCAAACTTCCAACTCATCACATCCCGACCAAGTTCCATTTGACGGCCTTGAGTGTGATGTCACTTGAAGGTATTCTTGGCGTACAGCCGGTCCGTTTTTTTCTCTCTGCATACGTTTTGAGCAACAGGTCGTTGATAGCCAGAATTCCTTGTTGCTTATGCTTTCTGACTATCTGATCTTCAGTATCAGTGAGTGAATGTTTCTATACATGAAAGTCCCTGATTGGCTACCTGATGCTTTCATGAGTAAGGACCACAGAATTGTTCAGAGCTACGAGGAAACAAATATCAACATTCACCTAGTTTTCAATGATTCACTAAATGCTGTCGTTTTCTACTGAGGTACACCTTGAAAGTTATGTCTGCTAAACGAAGTATATATATATATATATATATATATATATATATATTTATCAAATTTTATTAATTCTGCATTTATAACAAATTCATTAGATACCTTCTTCTAATTGTCTACGAAGTTGTTCAATTTCTTTTTGAAATTGACGTAACATAGCATCTTTTGGATCTTCATTTATTTTAGCCTTATTTTTTATATTTTTAGCTCGATTGGCATATCTTAGTGTACTCAAAGACTCATCATAGTTGTAATCTGAAGGTGAAATATTCGCTATCTAAAAATCAATATTTTAAAAAAGCAAACAAAATATATTAAAATGGAATGCGAAAACAAGAGGAGATTGAGTGAAATTAATCTTCTTTATAAGTGAAAGGTTTGCTGAGCACCTAACCGTAGAGTCTAGGTCTTAGAGGTTCACCTTCGGTTAACAGAGTCATAGCTCAGCGCCTGGTTGAAACAGGACATCAAATGAACATATCGAAATCTTTTAAGGTGGTGGAAAGACACAACACTTCACGACTACTGCAAATAGCTGAGGTAATCACCACTTGAAGGGTGCAGCTTAAATTATGCATGTTGACAAAGAGATATACTTACTTATCATTACCTTGATAGTCATTAATCCCTTCTCTTTAACTCATTGAAAGTTCATTTCATTTCTTAATGATGTACTTTGACATATGTACCGACTTATTTCTGTATCCATTTGTGCGTCGGTGGCACAGTGGTTAGGACTCTCGCCGACCATGCACATGGTCCGGGGTTCGAGCCCACGCCGACGCACACCTGATATCTATGGTTGGCCTGCGAATTTTGGGCTACCGATATCCACGCTGAAAATTCCACACTTGTACTAAAAATACGGTGTGGAATCAAGCTGTAATCAAAAATATAAAAATAAAAATAAATACTTATGTTCTTCCTGTTCGAAGACTAGTCAATAAACTCACACAACTATCAAAAGCAGAGGCAATATTTATAAATTATCGTATTTTCAATATACGATGCTTAAAAATTGAATCATTCTAACTTCCTGTACAATCTGGGCATTGTATTTGTTTTCGACGTTTTATCCTACTCATATGTAACGAACTAGCTATTCGGTTGAGGTATGTTAAACTTATTTTATGTTGATTACTTATGCATCTTATTATTCAGGCTGTGTCAAGATGATCAGACACCTGTGAAATAAAAGCTACTCTTATTCCTTATTCTAAAGTTTATTGGTCCCAATTTGTTACCATCATTATATTATTATGACCTTGGGTTCCGAGGTGGGTGATATGTAGTCACATGATGTCTGCTTCGTCTTGCCAGTCGGATATATTTTGCTATATGTATATTGATCATTATTCCATTATAACTCACAATATATCTGTCCATTAACTAGATAAACAATGTATGACCTTTGTCACATGACATGGCAACCAATCAAAATCCAGTGGTGGTAAAAAAACTACTGTCTTATTGGCTCATGTATGTTAGTTATTTTCTATATGCTCTTGTATTGTACAGTTAATCGACTCTTTCGTACTTTTCCACGCACACTCTCGTGTGACAGTTAATTATCCTTGTTGGGAAATACATGTATCTTCGTGAACGCCGGGGGCTTCTGATTTTCCTCTTCGCGTCAGGGCAAATTAACTACTAAGCTATACCAGTCGTGACGTTATCGTCCGTTATATCTTGTTAGCCATATCTACACTCGGTCACACGATAACAGTGGGCTTAACTCCTTTTCAGCTGGATCTATGATTGCCCATCAGCTTGCATTTTCACCTCACACGACCTTCTTCATATCACCTTAGGACCCACGCCCAAGTCGTCGTTTTCCACTAGGGTTTCACTAATAGATCTCGGTGTTTGACGTCGCTCAACTGTCTCCTCGGTATTTATCCAATCCATCTTCATTTTTCTCTATTTATTGGGTGACAGGTCCATCGTATGTCCGTCTTCTTGCTCCTCACCGTCTGTTGTACAACCCAGTTTACCACAATCAGGAAGATCATCGATGGTAGCTGGCATTCTTGTCTCACTCTTGGTTCCACTTCAAATCCTTCGTTGAGCTGTCCGCTGTGAAATATGTGGAATGTTACAGTATCAGATAGTTGTTGAGTAAGGCTGATAAAGGTTTGGAGCACTTCGTAGTCTTCAGGCAGTTTCCAGATTACTTCAAGGTAAACACTACTGAAGGCCTTCTCAGAGTTGAGGTAGTTCGGCTTTGTACAAATTTTAGTTCACTTTTTAATTCTGCATTTGAATATCTACGGGAGAAAACGTTGAATATTATTTGTTCAAAGATCGCTCATTTGCATGGATCATGATTGTTTAACTTCAGCAAAGTGGTAAATCCCCCTTAGACATATTCACAGGTTTTTATAACTGGAAAATATTCAGTTAACCGTCTACTTCCCAACCTTAACGGCAAATTCAATGGTGTAGTGCTATTTACTAATGAAATTTCAAGCACAATTTAATACTCTCCTTGCATAATTCCCTTATTTCTAATATTTTTGTATGTTATTTGATTACTCTGATATGATCGTAAGGACAAAACAAGTTGTGCTTTAAGTGTTATCCAGAAATAATACTCTATCCCTGTTAAGTCAATGGTTTTGTTAAATAATTAGTCTGCCATATTGACCAAAATGATAGAAGAGGCAGCGAAGATAGGACTTCAAGTGAATACAAAGAAAACGAAGGTGATGAAGATACATAACCAACAAGAGCAAGTACCAGTTATTAACAATTAGAGAAATCTAAAGGAAGTTACCTCTTTCACATACCTAGACAGCATTGTTTCAACTACAGACAGAGGCGGAATGAGGATGTTAAAGTTAGACAGTTAGCAAAACAGCCCTACATTGCTGAGAAATCAGTGTGGAAATCACCAATCAGTACAAGGAAAAGGATTTGGATTTTAAACATTAATATCAAACCAGTGCTTTTATAGAGATTATAAACGACTTGTCTCGTGAGTCACAAAAAGTATTTCCAACAGGCCGATATGGAGATCGCATAAGGAGTAGGCAGAAGCTTACCAGCAGTCATGGATCTATCTGTAAAGGATTGCGGAGAACAGGATGAAGTGGCGATGCGCTGCTGAAGCAGTATATTCCACTTGGAAGCCAAGGGAATAATAATAGTACCACTGTCCAAGTTGTATTAATACACTAGTATTTTATGGTGAGGCTATCTGAGGGGGCCTTGGATTGCCTGGTTGTTAACAAGGTAATGAATATGGAATAAAGTTAAGACGAAAATCTGGGCTGCGGCGGAATTAAAACTAGTGGTCTTTGGATTACTAGTCCAGCTATCCACCGGGTGAACTACTGTTAACCAGCTAATCATTTCACTGCAATTACTACGAGTAATGACCAGTTGTCATATGAATGAATGATATGTTACTGTCCGTCTGACGCCCCATCAGCTTCCCAACTCGGTCTCCTTCTGTCAATCCAAATCATATTGAATTAGAAGAATAGCAGGTTGTCCACTGGTGATGAGACTATATGAGATGACCTTGGGTCGGTAGACTGTTAATTCTCAGACTAGTAATTCTGAAGCAGCCAGGCATAAGCCTGCACATGTTGATCTCACCTTCAGGCATCACCTATTACATGAATTATAGTCTGCCAATAAAAGATTATATCAGGCATTGTCACCATCAATTAGAAACTTCCTGCTGCCTTTATAATTCAGCATCAGTAGATTTGACAGGAGAAGACCTAGTTGAGTAGCTTGTGTGATAATGGATAAATAGTAACTTATCACTCATTTACATGATGACTGAGAATAACTCATGATAAATTAAGTAGAACGATGGCCACCTGTTTATTAACTAGCTCTGCTGGCAGAGCGTTGGACTAGTAATTTGGTGACTGCTGGTTCGAATTACTTCGCGAGCCATATTATCATCTTACCTTCACCACTGACTACATAACTCAAGGTTTTAACTAGCAATGAGAAGTACAAGCTTTTCTCATTTTTGGCGAAAATGAATAATTTAAAAGTCATTTTTGTTTTCAGCAACGATTTTCAACGTTTATGAAATTGGTACTTAAAGCTGAACAGTTGTTGTTTCGAAAGTTTTGGAACTCCTACAAGACAACACAAGAATATGCGTTTGCGACTACTATTTTTCATATTTGCCACGAAACGACCGCACACAGCTAACCAGTTCAATCAGAAAAATGTTCACATTATACTCCACATAAACTTGAGATACCAGTTCATGTGTATTATTAAACCAACCATTTAGAAGTCAGGATAACACAGATGACAACCATGAAAGCAAATATAACTGCATAACAGTATATACCACTAATTGGTACGAGCATTTGGAAACCTCTCCCATCAGGTGGTAGTGTTTGCTAGCCAGATTGAATTGATTTAAAAACCCGATTGTATATTCTCTTATTTGAGGCCGAGTTCATCAGTGGTGCAACTTGTGCGATTCACCTCAGAGAGCTGAATCAGTCCAAGTTACTCGAATTCTAGTTAACTAATAGGCTAAATTGGTAACGAATAAAATCAAATCCATTACTTGCAAATTATCAGAAGTTATAGGTGAGAAATTACCATAGTTTCCTTTGGAAACCAAAATACCTGCTTACTGTGTACGCACAATTTAAAAATTAATAAAACAAAAAATGAATTTATCTTACCATAGCAGTTTTGGAATTCCCACCCAATGAATCTTGTAATAATCGAGTCAATTTGGAATTACGGTAAGGAACATGTGTTGATTTACCATCTACTAGAGCAGAAATTACATTCCCCAACGTTGCCAATGACAGATTAATCTTATTAGCTTCTTGAAGACGTTTCCCAGTAGCACCGGTTTTAGCTTGTCGTTCAGATCCCTTTAATTGTATTTTAATTGAAGAAAGAAAAATGAAAATTTATTTTAAGCAAGACACGGCTAACTGTTTATATCTAGATAAATTTAGAAGTGGTTTTGAAAGTGTGTGTGTGAACTATTGTCTATAGTGGAACAAAGAATTTCAGTGATTTTGAGACAGCCAACGTTATTTCACTAGTTGCTTTAAAGTTTAAAAAAATTTTTCTGAATAAGAGTGCTGTGTATTTCAACACGCGATAAACCTATAGTAAGCCATGTGGAGGCGATCGATATGCGAACACTGAGGAATATGTTCGAGTCAAATTCACCTTTTGAGGATAACACTGTTTGAGATGAGAATTCACTATTATTTCATTTGGAAGACAAAAATATTCGGGTATCACAAACGATAGTCAAGAGAGCAAGCCAAATAGTGTGATGATATATATTGCTGATATTGATATGAGTAGTTAAAGGCCACTGACGTCTTTTCTAATCAGGTCAAAGTGGTTTAACTGCCAAAGGTTGTTTCGATCGTTTGGAACCTAGCTTATGCGCGGTGTATCTTGAGCTAACTCATCTCAGACAGATACCAGCCTACCTACGTATCTAGGGAGAATCCGACTGTATCAACTGATTAGGCTCTCTTGGGTTAAGCAAAACAGGGTACTACTGATGAGGGGAAACGCTGATCGATTTAAGATCAGTTGCACCTGGATACTAAGCAATATTGACTGACTGACTGGTTTCAGCAAAAAACTTTGCACCGATGTGCAGCTGTTCGAGTCACCACACTCGAACTATTGTTTGACGTGATCAGTTTCGAACTATTCAAATCGACTAACAGCATATATCCAACACATTGGAATCCTATTTTACAATGTAATATTTGAACAACTACCTCTCATCTCTAGTCATCATACGTTGAGTGTATTCTTTAATCTAGTGGTAAAAAGCGCACATCAAGCCTGGGCTGCATCTTATTTTCCATAATGATGATAATAGTTAAAAGACTGTTACTGTTCATTTTCAATTTGTTGTTCTTTCGAATAACTGTGAAGTGTCCCTTAATGTTTACTAAGTTTATCAGACTCAGAGATTTACTCGCCCTACTAATTCTACTTCCTTTGATAAGTTCCTCAAATTTTCCATGTATTATGTGAGCATTTCTTGTGCTAAATCAGTGCGGAAATCCACAGCACTTAGCACAACATCCAAATTATTAACACAAATGTCAAGTCAACACTTCTATACCGTTCACACGCATCACTAAAAGCATTTCCAACAGATTGCTGCAGACTTTCATGAACACCTGTCTTCACTCGATCGTACCGAAGGTCAGATGGTAGGCTGGAAAGGATGAGGAACAACTAACTCAAATAGTGCAGCAAATCAGGCAACCGCCTACCGCTCACCCAACAAATATGCAGAGAGGAATGGAGATGGATTGAACCTACGCTGAGGAGATCATCAAGTGACATCATACACCAAGACCTCAAATGGAACCTGAATGAGAAACGAATTAAGACACCGAGCGTGACATGAAGATCACGTGACAAAGAAACAGAAGCTTGTGGATAATAGCGAATCCGGTTGAAACTAATTTTGTTTATGGGGTTATAATAAGTTAGTGACAGTTGCCTAATCAGAGACAAAAACTACAGTGATTAGAAGTCGTAAGATTGGAAAACCAAAATTTGGTATGTATGAAGTCGAATGGAAGCATGATTACGTAACACAGTGAGTAGGGTTCAAAAGATCAAAAATAAAGTCTAATTTGAAATTCAAGCGAAAAATGTGTGGAGGAAACGAAGTGATGAAATTGGAAGACAAAGGGGTTGCTGACGAGGGTGGGTTACCAGAGTTAGGCAATTGTCACTAACTTATCATAACCTCACTAACAAAACTGCTCAGTTTTAGGAGGCAATTCGCTTTTATAATATATATATATACATATACTAATAGTTTGGAATAACCTTATCATCCTTATGCTTTGGTTCACTATGACTTTCTTACAACAATCCTTACTGGAGGACTGACTCATGATGATAAAAAAAATGTATGTTGAAGTTGCATTATAACTGGTTTTATAAAATGTTGTAGGTTGTACGCAGCCGAAGAGAACCGGTGAAATAAAATAGGTTCATATTATTCTGTATCAATGTTTTTTCCATCTCTGTTCAAATTTATAAAGGGGAATTTTTGTATGAAGTCCTCACGAATTCTTCACACATTGATATTTTTTTATTTATTGGTAAATGTGCATACTTCTTTGATTCTATAATTCGTACAACTATCTTGTAGACTTAATATTAGCATGAACCAGTCATCTCATCCAACTTCATATACTTTCTCAACATTCATATTATTATTATATGTGTAAAACTTGGGCACTGTGGTTTGTAAGTAATTCCATATTAGTTGTTTATTAGATATATCACAACGTGAAACAGTAAATAATACTGTTTCACTAACCGGTAAATAATGCTGTTTCATTGTGTGATATATCTAATAAACAAACGAATATGGAATTATTATTATGCATTATTGAGTTACCAGTAGGATACAAAGCCTCAGGATCATATCTATACTGAGTCCGGTTCTCTACTATTAGTTTCAACCGGATTCGCTACTATCCACAAGCTTCTCTTTCTCTGGCACGTGATCTTCATATCACGCTCGGTCTCTCAATTCGTCTCCCATTCAGGTTCCACTTGTGATCCTACTTGGATCAAACCAACAGTTATAGGCTTCATGTATTGATGCTGGGTTATGATTTGACTATCCCCACCTCTCTACCAACTCAATCCAATAGCATCTAACATCGCTCGAATAGGAAGGCGATAACGTGGTACGTGTCCTAGCCGTCTTAATCGATGCACATCCATAACCTGATAACTCGCTGATAACCAATCAATCTGTCCATTACAGTCTCACAGAAGTCGAATCACGACAACAAATACCTGAATGGCACCATCTCTGACCACAACTCTAAGTGATTCTAGCTCGAATCTCCCGCGTGTAATCACTTCCTTCAAGGTTTCAGCTACGCCTAGTTTAAGAGTGCAAGCAAGCACGATAACTAGCTAAATCCAGGGCTTCTTGACAATCACCTTCAAACACTCAGCACAAAATTCACACATTTTATCTACTATAACATTGAAGCCGAATCCAAGGAAATATGTTCACCACAAAAAGGAGATAAAGAAATAGGCAGTAGGATCATTTATGAAAGTCGTTAGTTATCATGATATCATTGAACGCGATGAAATAATTAGGCAGGTAAAAATTTGCTTAAACCACAGCTCACTCACAGCCAGATCTACCAAATGCAATTTCCCTTGACGAATTAATGCTTTATTTTTCTCTGTATTTTCACTACATTCAATTGTTACAGTATAAATGGCATGTGAACGTGAACTATGCTCATTCATATTTGTGGCACCAGTTACACCTTTATGCAAAATAAAATAAAAATGCCAAGCGTTAAAAATGAGCTGATATAACACTTGCATATTAAAAAAAGTCTGCTGATAAAGCTTGGATAGGCTTAATTTTACATCAAATAGATATGGATATATTATCAATCTGAGAATAGTAGAATGCTCGTCAACCAAGCAGGAGGTCTATTATGGGTAAATTTTTGTTTTGATAAAGTCTCACAGTGTTATACAATAATGTTTACTGATGACGTTTCGAGAACAATTTATTGCTCATAATCATATCAAGGTATTCACACGACTTCCTAACTTCATTTATATAGTTCCATTATTTTTCACTTGATTTGATTGGTAGTAGTATTTTCCATATTTCAGGTATGAGTGATGAATCATTCCTATTGCATGTGTTTGGTGTAGACTCGATGAACAAGGATTCAGTAATCAACCTCTCTCCCCACCTACCTAGATTACTTTTTAGAATTTTAACCCTCTCCCACCCTATTGTGTGGTTGTGTGTTAATGCATGCATTGCAATTGCTGAGCTTTTTTCTAAATTACTTATCTTCTCGGGGTCAACCATTCTTACCTTAGCTAAATTCTTATGCTCTGACAATCTGACTACCCCTGACCTACTAGTTTGACCTATGTAGTTGACCTCACAGTCATTGCATGGTATTTTGTAAATTATATTATTTTGTCTAATTGGTTCAACTGGGTCCTTTAACCTACACAGCTTGTCCCTGAGTGGGTTTGTAGGTTTAAATGCCACCCTAATTCCTGCTTTATTTAGAATCCTACGTAGGGTTTCAGATGTCCCCTCTTTATATGGTATAACTGTAGATGACTTATATTCTCTCTTATTTATGTTATTATTAATAGTTTCACAATTATTTTTATTTTTCGTTTGGCCTTTTCTGATCTTCCTAATGAATTTTAAAGGATAGTTATTTAACACCAAAGCCCCTTCTATCTGTTTTAGTTCATCATTTAGGTCTTTTCTTGTGCTACTTAGTGCTACTGCTCGGTTTGTTAAACACTTAACTAAGCCTGCCTTAACAGTCAACGGATGAGATGAATTAAAGTCTAAGTATCTATTAGAATGAGTTGGTTTTCTGTACACACTAGTGTGTAGTTTACCTTCTTCTATTCGTTTTATTTTACAATCTAACATAGCTAATTCTCCTTGTTCATTTTCCGATTCAAATGTGAATTTTATTCCCTCCACCAGTGAGTTTATGTGTGCCAAGAAGCTAGAGATATGTTCTGTTTTTAACACTGTGAAAGTGTCATCCACATATCTCCACCATATTTTTGGAGCAGGATTAAATGTATTAAGAGCCATATTTTCCCAGCTGTCCATAAATATGTCTGCTACAATAGGGGATATTGGTGATCCCATTGCTACACTTTCTGTTTGTCTATATATTTTACCTTGGAATTTAAAGATAGTAGATGTGAGGCATAACTGAATCCCTAAAATAATTTGTTCAATGGACAGCTTTGTCCTATGATTGAGTTCAGGATCCGCAGTTAGTTCTTTTTTAACTGCTTCTAAGGCCATATTGACTGGTATATTAGTATAAAGACTACTTATATCAAAACTAACCATTTTTTCATCATTCTCTAGTTGAATGTCGTTTAGTTTATTTTTCATCTCATATGAATTAGTTAGTCTAGAATTTGAACGATTTCTAATGGGGCATAATATTAGAGCTAAGTGTTTTGATAATTCATAAGTTGGGGTATTTCTAAAATCTACTATTGGTCGTATGGGGTAACCTGGCTTATGCATTTTAATAGTACCATATATTCTACTAGCATTATTAGTTTTAGGCATTAAATTAAACCATTTTGACTCACCCAGTGACGGCTTCATTCTGCGTATAAGTTCTGCTGTAGATTTCTTAACCTTATTCATTATTGTGTCTACAGGCTTCTTAATTTCTTCATATGGACCCGTTTGAATATGTTGAATAACTTTTTTGATATAGTCAGATTTATCCAGAACTACGGTGGCGTTTCCTTTGTCAGCTTTTGCGATGACAATATTTTTATCCTGTTTTAGACTAATTAAAGCTTCTCTTTCCGATTTTGTTAAGTTTGATTTTGTTTTCTTTTGATTTTTCAGGGTTAATGCACATTGTGCTCTAACCTCTTCTGCTGTCGTCTTATCTATTGAGCTTAGTGTTACTTCTGCGTTAGGAATGACATCCTCTGGTTTTAATTTATTAACTGTTACGTTAAAATTTAGTCCTTTCTCAAGTACTTTTATCTCACTAGAGCTTAGTTCCCTTGATGAGAGGTTGATCACCCACTTTGTTCTGTCGATAGAGGATGAAGTGTTGACATCAATTTCATTTGTTGTGTTCTTTTCTCTAATTAGTTTGTTGAATTTTTTGATTTGTGTGATTTTTGATTTTCTTAAGGCTGATTCTCCAGCTTTTTCGGATGTTTCAACAACGATTGCATAATCTTTGTCATTGACCATACATTTGAGTTTCTGTTTGAGTTTTTCGATTTCATTTCGCATATTATTTAGTTTCACAGTAATTCGATGTAGTTCTTCTCTTAGACATAATCTACTGAGATGTTCAGCTGCTGATGTTATTTTTCTTGAAGTAATTGGAGTACGCAGACGTAAATATTTTGGAATAATATGATTTTTTAAACATCGGCTGTCAAAAATCCGATGATTTGTGAATCTTGCTTCAGTTTGACTAAGTCGTGTGAGTTTGTTGATAAGCTTCCTAGTAGGAAGACCATAAGTATCATTGATATAAGAATAAAACTTGTGCACTGTGGTAGAGTATAATTCCATTATGGGTAAATTTTTGTTTTGATAAAGTCCCACAGTGTTATACAGTAATGTTTACTGATGACGTTTCGAGAACAATTTATTGCTCATAATCATATACCTTGATATGATTATGAGCAATAGATTGTGCTCGAAACGTCATCAGTAGACATTACTGTTTAACACTGTGAGACTTTATCAAAACAAAAATTTACCCATAATGGAATTATACTCTACCACAGGAGGTCTAGGTTCGACTCTAGGCTGACACACTTCTAAGCTTCACCAAATGCGGAGGTTCGGTAAAAAGGAACGTTGAGTGAGGCTAGCAACTGCACCCTTTAAAAAGGACACTAAATGCTACTGAAATTTCAAAACTTTAAGCCTTATGTTCCACTCAGAAGGGAAAGAATAAAAATATCATATTAAAATAATTCAGTATCCGCATAAAAAGTATTGTCTTTCAGGAATCAGTTAATTAATTCTTGTTTGATTGAGCTCAGTTACTCGGAACAGAGCTTTCATTTACTATTTTTACAGCCACACTAATTATTTGAGAGCGGATTATGTTGCACAGTTACCAAGGTTGAAGTATATCGAGTTGGAATTGAACCCGAGATCCGTTAGCTCAAAGCCTCCTCTTTTGATGAGCTACATCTCTTCACTTCCTAATTCCTAAAGAAAATTCTGTTTGATAAATCTAAAGAGTTTGTTGACGAATTAAATGAATGAAACACTTTGAGTTCATTGTAAAGGATGTGTACGGGGGAAATAGTTATTATTTAAAGTTTCATGGACAAATTTCAAACTGTGATCCACAGAAGCAGATTTATTTATTTCTATAAAGAATTAATATTCCTTACACACTTCACCAACCTCCTTATTAGGTGAAACTGAGTTGGACTGTTGCGACTAACAAGTTGAAAGTCTGATGAATATACCACTCAATAGCAGATTATTTTAACTCATCAATCTAGTTCATCGTTGTACCCTAGACTATGTAACAAGATGTACATGCGGAATTCACGCAACCATTAATTCATCTAAACACAAGCACTTGAACTTAGTAACCAAAAATGTAACAATTCAGTCCTTAAGCCAATGAAATGCATTTCAAATTGCATATTCACGAATTCATTTTGGCTTTTCAGAGGACAAATATTTGAAGTTTGAGATAGCTTACTATGACTAGTAGTCTCAGAGTCGCTTTTTGCAATTCTTCAGCGACGTAAGTTGTAACCTCACCTCCACTTATCACAAATAACATGATGCCAATCCCCAGACATCGTCAAAGTATCTTTACCAGGAGGAAACATCACAACAGAGGTCAACCACTTCGGTCCAGCCAGTCAATAGGAAAAAAATTTACTTAAATACATTATTATCAGTCTATCAATCCATGACTATCTGAGATAAATCCAACACTTTTCAAAGGATTAAGTAGCCTCAATAGTTCTATTTCTGAATGACCAAAAGGAAATCAGAGCAACATCGAGACATAGGACATGTCTTGAGAAGAAGAAGTAAACACTTCCTCTCTTAATTTCTATGAAGGCTATCCATTAAGTCTTTCAGCGTGAGCTCTTTTGGATTTCATTGTTTAAATTATTCATTGTATTTGGAAAGACATGAATTCATAGACAAGCCTTATTTGTCTACTGTATCTTGTGGTTTTCTCATTAATTTGTCACCAAATGTATGAGAAGTAAATTTTGTATTTACAGTGTGTGTGTAGTGGTACTTGGTGGCGAAATTCTAGATTTGATAAGATGATATTCAGTGACAGTAAAATAAAAAACACCTTAAATTGAGACTTTAGTTTACAAAAAGTATTCATGTTCTTTTTCCTTTGTCGTTACTACATACTTTTCATAATGATTTACGATTCTCTTCATTTTTTTGTTTGCAACTTCCCTCAACGCTTCTTTATTCACTTAGTCTTTCAGACTGACTTTAATGCAACCAAAGTTTTCTTTTCAAGTTAGAGTTTATCACAGATTGACGTCATTTAGCGAAACACTTCAAACTACGGGTTAATGGACAGTTGTTTCGTTCTAGTCTGGAACATTGCCGACAATAAGCACTCATGGCGGCGTCGGAGTACGAACCCACGAACTTCAGGTTACAAAGCGAGTCAGTTACCACTTAGCCAGTGGGACACAATCCAACGACCCATGAATTCCAACTCTTGCAACTATACGATACATAGCGCCAGCCCTAACCAAAGTCATCAGTGATTGTCTTGGAGCGACTCTTAATTAAGATTTTTGGAATTCCATCCATGGCGTAATCAGTCACTAATGAGTAAGTGTTTTCTGGCGAGAATTCCACCAATTTCAAGTTAGATTTCATGACGAATTGTTGAGAATTTTCTTTTCAGCTTTAATTATCACAGCACTGCATTAAAATAATTCCCCTATCATATCTACAGACATCTCAAGAAGTCACACAAGTAATTTATTTACAAACAATGCAAAAATGTAATTTTTGGCAGTGAAAAATAGGCACGAAAACTCCTATTTAAGAAAGGAATTATAATAGCTACTATAATTAAGAAAAGAAATCTTACGATTTTTATTTCCAAATGACATTAACTTATCCATTTCATTCGGTGAGTGAACAACAAATGATGAGAGATCCTTAACATATACACCAATATCTGGTCTCTCTTTGACGTCTAAACTTGCAGTTTGGTCCTTTCCAAGAAGATCTCTTACCTGATATACACATATGAATATTTATAAATAAAGAAATCATTGTATGTTGTAATAAATTTTGAATGGAGACGTTTATACTGAATACTTATGTCAGTTTAAAATATTAACAGAGGATATTTGAGATGTTAAGAAATTTAAGGACTTTATCCTTGTATGCATATTTAAAGAAAATAATTGACTAACTTAAATATACAGCATAATCAAATTTATTTAGTAGTTGTTAACCGAGGAACCCAGCAGTTGCGTTTGGTTTTCTCTGGGACTCGCCAACCGAATACGTTTGCATTCCAGTGAGTGATGGCCATCTCTTCCCACTAAGACTTAAACCCCAAAATCATCTTTCCAAGTGTCCTAATATGAATCACTAAGCTTCTGAGCCATGACAGCTACATCTTGTGGAATGAATATAATTTAAATTTAAGCAAATAATACTATGATGTGCACGTTTATTTGTCTGGAGTCCTTTCATACCAAGCCTTTCTGTGATAATCTCACCAGAAGTTATCAACCAGTAGCCTTTCTCCGTGTTCATTTTGGTTAAAGTGCGTCGGTGGCACAGTAGTAGAATGCTCGCCGATCACGCATTTGACCCGGGGTTTGATCCCCAGCCGACGCACTCATTCACTTCAACTCTCTAAGCCAGTAAGAAGACTGATAAAGAGGAAAGGTTGGGCATGAGGCTAGCAACCTCATCCCGTAAAAGTAAACACCCCTGCTACCAAAAATTCAAAGCTTTGGCTTGAAGCCCTATGTTTCACTGAGAACTCAAAGGAATAAAATAATTATGGTTAGAACTTATAAAAGACTTAGCTGTGCAGCTGGTATAATTATGTTAAACGGATAGTTACTTTTCACACATCTACGTGACAACTTGTTATAATCCATGATGACTGAAGTGAAGAAATGAACCGGTTGGCAGAAGGGTCTTTTACCAAGAAGATTACTTTTTTGATTCTTGCCGAGACACATGATTGCACTGTATCCTTGCACCTGTTATAACAAGATACTGTGTTAATATTTCTTGATATAAGAATAAAACTTGTGCACTGTGGTAGAGTATAATTCCATTATGGGTAAATTTTTGTTTTGATAAAGTCTCACAGTGTTAAACAGTAATGTCTACTGATGACGTTTCGAGCACAATCTATTGCTCATAATCATATCAAGGTATATGATTATGAGCAATAAATTGTTCTCGAAACGTCATCAGTAAACATTACTGTATAACACTGTGGGACTTTATCAAAACAAAAATTTACCCATAATGGAATTAATATTTCTTGCCGATGGCTTACCAAACATTGAGTAACATAAGGGCAAGCTACCTGTTTATCAAAATGCAAAATTTACAATAGTTAGGTGCATTTTACTGAAGTATTTATCACTACGATAAGTTTATTTTCCGAGTCGAACAATGGTTGTCATATATTATGTGGTGACATGTTAAATAGGTAAATAAGTATGTACAACCACTGAGATCAACAATGGTATTCATATCATGTTGAAATGTGAAACTGATATTCAGTTAAATATGTTTCGCTATTTATTTTAATTCTGGGGTAAGATATTACTGAATTCCCTGAGTATCTGTTGAGTACTAGATTATTTTGTATTGGAAAATAGTTATTTAAAAAACTCGCTTCGTTTACTTAGTACTACACTACACATGTCTGACATATGTGACTTGATCAAACTCCCAGTGTGCATAACTTTGACAAATCACTACGTGTGGGCTGGAGTTTTAATCGTGTTACTGTTGTTTTCAGACGAATAAATTTACATTTTAATAGTACAATTCGAAACTTAAATCAGTTTGATATATATTTTGTTGAGAATAAATCATCGAAAAAAATTGTATCGGAATAACTTTTTGAAACATGTATATTGAAAAGCAAAGGATAATGAATACTTATATGGTTTTGATCAAAAATATCTTCATATCAATGGCTACACGATGCGAAATCATGTGTTAATAACATTGCCTCGTGATAAAGTGTGAGGTAAGTAAAGGAAATTTTCCAAAGAACTCAAGGAACTTCTTAAACTGGAGTTTCTAGAAAGCTAGTCGTCCATGTCAAGCTACCACCTTTAGGTGAACTGGAATTAAGTTGGTTGAAATTTGCATGTGACTGGAACTAAAAAGGAAAACAATTCAGCATATTTTGTCTATTTTTTTCAGTCATAAAGGAAAGTGTAGTTTACGTGGCTAGAGACTTCGAGATGTTAACGAGCCACGGTTGTAAGTAAGTGACAGCAACAATCACTCAAAAAGACGAGGATGCCTTCACTCTATTGCTCTTAAAATTCGGAACATTTCCAGCGAATTTCGCCTTTTTATTTCTTCTGTGCAGTAGTTATATTATCCACTGCAGTACCACTCTTCTTCTGTTGACTTCTATTTTGTTGTGGCATTTAGAACTGTGATAGTATGAAATGGTATTTCTTTTCGCAAAAGACTGTTTTCATTTGTCGCTTTAATACACAGAATGGATGAATTTTCTTTATAGGTCACTATCCTTCATTGAGACTTGCTCAGTTACCCACAGAGAACGTGTGCCTCCTTGCTAAATGTTGTTAGGGCTTACAGGTTTTCCGTCGGCAAATATTGTCACTATTCACACATCACTTGTGTTTCACAAAACACCTAACCTAACTCAGTAGAAACGCCATAAATCAACGGATTTTTATATTTAGCAGTAAAACAAATTACTGGAGTAAATTTTCCATTTGGTAGCTTAGCTAAGACTTTAGTGTTTAGTTATGTCAAGATTTATTTAACTAAGGATATACTAATAACTCTATGCGAAACACTTTAAATAAGGTTTCACATGGTACTAATGGTAATTCTGTGCTGAAATTTAGGGTCGAAATGTTGAAATGGTCTAGCAGCAGTGAGCTTAAGGGACATGAACATATTAGCTCCCCCTTAACATAAAATGTCCTTGGAAGCCTCAACAAGTATAGAGGCAGAGAAAGTGAGACAAAGGCAGGTCAACATCTAAATTTAGGATAGTCGCGAAGAAACAGTATTCGCCCATAATCTCGGGAAATTTAAGAGGAAATACTAAAGAAGTGACACTATAGTTCATATCTCTGCAAGTTATAAGAATTTTTAGTTTAATAAATAAATATTATTAATGATCTCCTACCTCTTCATTGTAAATCTCTAGATACGAAACGCGGACCAAAAACCTGACATTCGTATCAGCCTTAGCAATTGCCCCAAATATATGTGCAAATGAATTGGGAATAATACCTCTCAACTCTGGCACAGACCTAATTCCTTCCATCGTAAATGTCTTTCCAGTTCCCGTCTGTCCATAAGCTAATATCGTTCCTATTGAAATTTTAAATAAAATAAGCGATGAATATTACAGGAATTACCATTATAACCTTCCAGGACTTTGTCAATAATTGGTCTAGCGACTCTGTTGTATATATCTGTTTGCTTGCTACTGCAGCCGAATACGACGTCGAAAGTAAACTGCTTGGGAGGGTCGTCAGCTAAATCGGTTCTTTGGAGAGTAACACACCCATCTATTTCATTTATCTGTTTTAAATGAAAATAAATTTGGATTACAGATGTTTTAACACAATCCAAACTCATACCGTAGTTACAGACTTGTTATTCATTGATATTTCTTTTTTACTCATAGGTCGACATCTCACTGCAACTTTCACATTGTCTGAATCTTCTAAAGCCCGCATCACTTGGAGAGTAGGCAAAATCAAAAAGCCTCAACAAAGCGTAACCCTGATTTCAATATTTAAAACAAGCTCAAGATTAAAAAGGATAGCAGCCTTTTGTGTTCTCTATCAACCCTTGCGAAATTTATCAATTCGGATATCTGATCACTCCGTAAAAGCGACCACCAATGGAGCTTATCCATATTGGTCGCGTAAGGATTCCCTGCAGTTCCAATATCCAATATCCTGATGACGAGCTAGTATAAACCAGTGATTTCTTTGAGCTCGCTTCTTGATTGTGAGGTAGAGGTTCCAGATCTTCGGTGAGCTTCTGCGTAGTAAGTCCCGACACTCGACTGCTTTAGCTCTGGTAGACTCCAGGAGGAGTGGTGCGGGGATTGGTCGAGATGTGGTTTGTAGTATGCAGTATGTTAGGACTGTATTGCTGCCGTGAATGGAGTTTGACCTAACTCCCGTTGGTCATTCGGTGTAGTCATAAAAGCAGAATAGTAATAATATAAAATAATAATAGGTTGTAGTGTAGATAATATAGGTTGAGATAAGTGGAATAATAAAGGTGACCTAAGGAAAAGATAGAGTGAGAGAAGGCAGAATAGGTCGTGGGGATTTAGTTTGTACGCTTATCCATTGACAGTGTGGTTTCAAATTTTATGAGGATAAGCCATTGAGACACAAACCTTGCATTTCTGCATGATTGTCTAGCTTCCGCTTAAAAATCTCCACAGATGGCGCTGTAGTCACGGCCGCCGGTAAAGCGTTCCAGAGACGGCAAACACGAAGCGAAAAGAAATGTGATCGCACTCGAGTCTTTGGTCTCTGGTGTGCTATCCTTAGCGGGTTACCTCGTGGAAGCCTATAATCGCTTAATGGCAGGATGCTTTTATTTGGGTGGGCCTGGTCATTTAGGATCTTGTAGACGGTGATGAGGTCTCCCCTGTGCCTACGGTAACTGAGTGTGAAAAGACCTAATTTCTTTAGTCTTTCCTCATATGATTTGTTGCGGAGGCCGATCACCCATTTTGTCGCTCGTCTCTGGACACTTTCTAGAATGTTAGCATCCCTTTTGAGTAGCGGAGGTGCAATGATATTATGCACCTCAAGGTGTGGCCTCACATATGCCTTGTATAGCCTTAAGAACAGTTCGGGAGTGAGAGCTCCCAGCTGCCTGTGCATAAAGTGTAATGTTGCGTAGGCTTTGGCGACGTCCCTCGAGTAATTTCCACTGGTGTCTAGCTTTTCTGTTAGAATAAGACCTAGATCACGCTCTGATGGAACACAACTCAAGTTCTGGCCACCAAGGGTGTAATTTACACTCTGTGACCTGCCGGAATGAAGCTGCACTACTTTGCACTTCTTTAGATTGAAAGGCATTCCGTTAGCCAAAGCCCAATTTCCCAGAGTTTGCAGGTCAGCCTGCAATCTATCTGAGTCTTCCGATGAGTTTATTGCTCTCCAAATCTTTACGTCGTCAGCGTAAAGAAGCGCAGAGCAGTTTAGTTGGGGGGGCAGGTCATTGATAAAAATCAAAAACATCAACGGCCCTAGGATAGAACCCTGAGGAACCCCTGATGCCGAGGTGTGCCAAGATGATCGGATGCGGTTGACTTTGGTGCAGAATTCTCTCTCGCCTAAGTAATCTGTCAGCCATGCGAGAAGTGCTCCAGAAACTCCCGCCTTGCCTATTTTGTGAAGGAGCAGACCATGGTGAACTGTGTCGAATGCTTTCGCAAAGTCGAGAAAGATCACGTGGGCTGGTACCTTTTTGTCCCAGGATAGTGTCCAATCGTTCCAAGCTAGTAGAAGATTCGTCACGCAGGATCTTCCCCTCCTGAAACCGTGCTGTGCTTCGTGAAGAAGGTTAGTCCCATCGAAGTATTTTCTCATGTGGTCGTCAATGAGACTTTCCAATATCTTCGATACCACTGGAAGTAGAGCAACTGGTCTGTAACTGGTCACATTCTGCCGGTCACCACCCTTGAAGATAGGGGATAGGATTGCACGTTTCCATTCACATGGAAGTTTCCCTACATCAAGGGAGTGTTGAAACAGATCACTTAGGGGTTGACAGAGACTTTCTGAACACTGCTTCAGGACAGATGGTCTGATGCCATCACAACCTGAAGACTTTCCCGAAGCCAACCTTCCCAATTTTGCAAGTACCATAGCCGGGGTAATTTGAAATGTCCCAGCAGGTTTTCGGTGTTGGTTTGCGATGTAATCTGGATGTTCTGTGGGGGTAATATCCTCGTTACTATTTAGTTGCCTGTGAAAGGCTAGGCTGAATGTCTCTGCCATTTCAAGACTAGTAAGAGATTTCCCATCAGAACCCACTAGATTGCATGCTCCCTGGTTGGTCGGTTTTCTTTCGGACATAAACCTGTATAGGCTTTTGGGGTTCACGAGAAGCTTATTGGCGAGGTCTCCCTGAAATGTCCTTCTATCGCTCCGGATCGTATGTTACTCGATTCCTGAGTTCAAGGTACACTTCATATTCGGGTTGACTCTTCGATCGCCGCCACGCAAACCAGGCTTTTCGCTTCGCCCAACGGTGAAGTGGCACCATATGGAGTCAGGGAGCTCTGTGAGGGGAGGGTCCGTCGCGTGAACACATCTGAGCTGTTTGTCGACGTATATGGCGACTCCACCTCCTTCTTTCAGGTCCCTATCTCGCCTGACTAGGACCATATCATTTATACTGACTTCGCTGTCTGCCACCGTAGGGGTTAGCCAGGTTTCCGTCAGTATTATGATTTTGGAGTTTAGTTGTGATTGTAGGTGTCTAAGTTCAGCTATTTTGCCTCTTAGCCCTCTCACATTACTATACAGGCAACTGGTAGTCAGTCTCACCACTTCCCCGTATTGGGGGGTAGTTGACTTGATATTGGCTATCGGTTGAGGAGTTATCCTACGAACTAGTTGGCCGATTCCCCAGGAACCGGCCTGTTGGCGTTTTTTTCTTCTAGTTCAGTTGGAGCACTCGGATGACACTGGCTATCATCGTCCGTGCTGCACCGCTGTAGTGTGACTAGGGGTTGAGGATTTTCTTTTACTACGCTTTGTTCTCTCCTTTGAGTGCGAGGCCGGCTCTCGCAGCAGCGAATGTGTTTGCTGACCTTGTCCTTGGTCTCGTACCATCTATGGAGAGCGGTAGTCAACTGGTCTTGGGAGCTGAACTTGACAGCTAACAGACGTGGCGAGTTAATTGACATAAGATGAGTGGGTCGAGGCAGTCTATAAATAGAGACAGCCCCTGAACTTCCCAGGGCCATCTGGGATGCTAACCATCTCCATTGTTGTACATCATGACAATGCTTTTCGCAGGCGTTCCCAGTTACCAGTTCGGGAATGCCATGCACAACCATGGAGGCAGAAGGAATGAGCTCTGGCGACTCCCTCGCCATTTGTCTTTCCTTCCACGGCCTGTCTGGCTTAACACGTATGTTACAGGCCCTCCCTATAGAAAGGACTTGAGAAGCCAGTAACACTTTTTCAACATCCTCGGTAGAGCTCAATGTTACCCTCAGTGGGGATGGTTTGCCTTCAGGTGCAGCAGTGCCCCTATACAATCTGCATAGATTTACTGGTTGGATGTCCAAACCCAGTGTGCTACTTAAGATGGACCACTGTTCCTGATCAAATAGGGCCCTATCTTTCAGCAGACTACTGCTACAGTCTGGTACATTAAAGAGGATTACACAATTTGATCTGCTAACCGTGGGCTTGGGCTCGGTCCTCGCACGTTTGTGATCACCTTTAAGACCGTTTTGGTTTGACTGGTGCGACTGGGTATTTTTATGTGTCTCAGTGCTAAAGCCAGCATTACTGGTAGACGGTTGGGGTCTTTTTCCAACGACGGAAACCCGTGGTTCTCCAGCCTCTGTGTCTGGAGCGGTTATGGCAAGAGTTACAAGTTTAACCGGTGAGGATTTTGGTATCCCCGGTTTACGCGCGTTTGTACTAACTTCCGGATTGGTGGGGGTCGAGCTTTTCACCTTTTTCCCCGCTACTTCTGTGCCACCTTTAGTTTTCAAAGGACTACGCGAGGCTACATCAGGACGGCAACTCGGGCATATGTACCAGAACCATTGGCATGGGTTTTTACGCATAAAGTCATAATATGCTTTTGGTACCCCACTGTCGCATCTGCAATGCACCCATCGGTTGCAAAAGTTACATTCGAAGGCAGAGTCTGCTTGTTCGACAACAGAAGCACAGACCTTGCAGTCGTCTGTCTTCTTGGGGAGCGTTCTTGTCGTCTTGCGACGTCGTGAACGTTTCTTTTTGGCCTTCCTATTTGTTTCATGGTCTACCATGGGGATGGGTGTTATGAAGTTCTCACTTAGTGCAATTTTCCCACTCGGATCTGTTAACCTAGTCGTGTTAACAGGGGTGGAGCCACATCCACTTGGCTGACTTTGCACAGCTTCACTGTAGGACTGTGGCGACATGGGTAATCTGTACGAGCTGGGAATATTAGCCCTGGTCTTCAGGACCGGTATGCGTGAGTCCATCACCTTCTCCTGTTTGCCTAGTTTGGCTGAAGCCCTGGTAACTACAGAGTATGATGTCCCATTACTTATTTTAGGTTGAGAATCTATTGTCATTTTACTCCTAAATTAATACTGGTGATTAAATAATAAGAGACTGTTATTTTGTCCAATAGACTTACAGCAAAAGACAATAGAGAGCGCAGAAAAGAAGGATAAAGTATGTAAGTAAAAGCTTTAGACTTTACCTGTAACTTTCGGGTTATTCGGTTTCACAGCAATCACGTAACAGACCCACAAGTCCTGTATATTTGAAAGAGTGAGGAGGGTGTTGCTACAGAAGTAGCACCTGAAGCTTTGGCAGTAGTTCGAGACAGCGGGAAGTACCACACACAGGCTCGGTGAGGAAGAAATGGTTGAATAAAAATTCGCCGGATAGGAAGATCAGGTTTCCCAAACGAATAATTCACAAAATTGGATATTTCCGGTTAGGGAGGAAAAGCACGTCTTATT